ATACTTCATTGTCCTTAGCTCTCTGCCATGTCCATTAGCTGTGGGACTAGCTCTGGAGTGCAGGTAGCAGGCAGGGTACGCGGGCAGCATTCAGACTCTGCAGAAATGCAGCTACACTTCAAAGCACCTGCTCAGTCACGAGCAGACAACAGGGAGCCAGGGGGTCTGTGCATTTAGTTGGTGCTGCATCAGTGTTTCTGAACATCTGTCCTTCCTGGGTGTCTGTTACAGCCCTCCCTTGCCTGCCTGCATACTGCTTCCTGCAGCGTTCTCTGGGAGGTCTTTAAGGGTTGTCTAATGTCTGGGCATCTCTCCCCAGGGTGGATGTTGCCAACGGGCCAAGCGTGTGTGAGGGCGGCTGTGAGGCCATTGTGGACACAGGAACTTCACTCATCACTGGCCCCACCAAAGAAGTGAAGAAGATACAGGAGGCCATTGGTGCAAAACCACTCATAAAAGGCGAGGTGAGGCCAGGCTGAAAATGTGGGGGTCTATGGCCATCACAGCACCTATGCTTGCACCCTACTTTGTACTCAAATGCTTGTTGAGACCCTAGTCTTCTGCTCCCTGTCATCTTTGTTCTCAGCCTGTGCTCCTGGAAAAGCCACTGGCACAGCAGGGACCCCTTCATCTTTTCACCCTGGGCAGCATTCACTATCCTACTCATGCACACAGCAGAAAGCCCAGGTCCCATGAACTTTGGGAAGCTTTGAGTCACTTCTGCCACCCATCTCTGGAAGGTGGAAGAGAAGGGATTTCAGTTGCAGCTGAGACAAAGGATTCACATTAATATGAGTCCAGAGACACTTTAATAAAAGTATATTTCATGCAAATGGCAACCCTTTGCATGAAAGTTTTCAACCATAAAAGCTAATCTCACAAGACTCTCTTCTCTCCCTAAATTGTGGAAGAATATAGATTATAAAGACCCTGTAGAAAAAAAATTGCCTGTTCTGAAAGCCCTCCCAAATCAGAGCCATGAGCATTTGTTGGGGTTTTCTGCAGTGTCAGAGACCCCAAGCTGCAGCAACAGTTGGCTTAGACCTGCCATCATCCCCAAGACCTGCCATTGCTAATGAAACTGGTTTTGTCTGTGTACTGAGCCACAGCTGCCTCTCCTCTGGTAAATACCCCCAGCCATACCACATCAGCTGTGGCACTCTGGGACTCAGCAAAGCCAAAAGCTGAATCCAACATCCTTTGTCTCCGTGCCTATCCATAAAGCCCTCTTGCCCCTCAGCTTGCAGCCCTAGGCAGGGAGCAGCCTACTTATCCCAGGGCGACCTTCTGCAGTCTGAGCTGAGCTGGCTTTAGGGAAAACCACAGCAAAGATGTGACTGTGCTCAAGGAAGACTGTGGGAGAGTGTGGGAGGTGCAATCTAAAGCCTTTACTGTTGCAATTTCAGTACATGGTGCCCTGTGAAAAAGTGCCGACGCTGCCTGTCGTCTCCATGAAACTAGGAGGGAAGTCCTTCACCCTCACAGGAGAGCAGTATATCCTCAAGGTATGTCCAGGCAGATTTTTCCAGCCTTATGCTTCTTCCCCAAGGCCTGGCTTTTGCTTCTACTGCAACAAAACACAAGAGCAGCCAAAGCAGTGCTGGAGCTGGTGCTCAAGAAGAAATCTGAAAGGTTGGGGTGTCAAAGTCTCACAGGAATAAGACCCCCTGCATAGTGCTCATGAGGGATAGCAGGATGGTTAAGGAAGGTGAGGCAAGCTGTTGCATCACTTTCAATAAACAAACATTTAGCTCTTTTCTGCTGTATTCTGGTGCCATGAGGCCAGCCTTATTATAGCAGAGGCCACCAGCCCGTCATTTAAGCCATCAGAATCAACTTGCAAGGACCATGTTGTGCAGACCTTCACCAATGGCTCTAATTCAGAGCTGTGTGGGCTGGGAGGTTTGTGGCCATGTGCAGCTTTGCTAGATGCTTTAGTGCTTAAGGGATGGGGAGCTGGGTTTGCAGTTGTAGAAGCAGTGGGTTGGGAGTCACTTTTGCAATCTGTGAATCTCAGTCTGGGAGAGGCTGAAGCAAAGGCAGCCTTGCAGGTGTTCTTGCCAAGCCTGCAAGGTTGAGGAAAGGGAATGGCCTGCTTAAATTGAAGTTCTCACTCCTTTTTCTAGATTACTGCACAAGGAGAGACTATCTGCATGAGTGGTTTTTCAGGCCTGGACATCCCACCCCCCGGGGGCCCTCTCTGGATCCTGGGAGATGTCTTTATTGGACCCTACTACTCCGCCTTTGACCGTGATAACAACCGTGTTGGCTTTGCCACAAGTGCCTAAACAGCTGCCCCCCACTGCCTCTGCCACACACACACACTTAAACACACACACATGGGAGCCGTAGAGAAAGGTTACCAGTATTAGAAATCCAGTGAGTGGAAAGGAGAAAAAAAAAAAAAAGGAAAAAGAAATGGAACTAGATTTAAAATTATGTGGGAAATAGTTATTAGTGCCCTGCTAGCTACTTTTTCCACTCTGAGTAAGTGGTGCTGGGAGGTCTCTAGCTGACAACTCCAGCTGGGGTAGTCCCTTGCTTTACTGCTAGGTCTTCCAGTAGTTCTTTTTGAGAATGATTCTCAGAGCTGAACAAGGCCCTCTCACATCTCCCAGCACTGGTGTCCTTCCTGGAGGGTGGGGGGGGTGCAGCTGGCTGAAGCCAGCCCCTGGCACGTCTGTTCGTGCAGAGAGGCTGTGCTACTGCTCTTGGGTTTGGGGAGAGGGACAAGGGAAGGCTGTCCTGCACATTAGTTCTTACTGCTTTTTCACTCCTGAAGTGGGGGAGTGGATGGCCTGGGAGAATCTGTCTTTATGACCCCTCCTTGGCAGGTTGAGGCAGTAATCAGGAGGTCATTTCTCAAGGAGTTTGTGCTGGTTTGGTCCTAGGAGAGCATGTCTTGAGCTGCAGTGATGGGGAAGCACGGTAATGTGCCCAGAGGATGAGTTCCAAAGCCTAAGGGCTGTAATGGTGTGTTTTGTTTAGTGATGGCATTAGTGAGAGGGCTGGGAGGCATGGCATCCACATCCCGGACATAATGGGACATGGGTGTGTAGGGGGGCTCTAGACAGTGGGACTTCTCAGTCAGTATGAATATTAAGGGGGTCAAGATAGGTTATAATAGAGGTTACTTGAATTCAGGGCCATGAAGGTCCAGCCTTCTGCTGAGCAAAGTCATGTGGCACAAGTTCTCTTGAGTTGAGTGACCTTCTCCCAGGTTCCCCAAACAGCAAATCTTCCCAGCTTCAACCACAGCCAGCAAGTTGAGAATAATGTTTCCTGAAGCAACTAAGTGATCTACAAGCTGAAATCATACTGGTAAAATCTGTTTGTCAGCCACATAAGAGCTTTTGGAAACATGATTCACAGCATTTTGAACTGCCCAAAACTCAAGAGACAGTTAGCAGAGCCAGCAAACCTCCTGGGCAGGAGGATGCCATGGCAGCTGCTGGACTTACATTCACTTTCCCTGCTGCCCTGTCCCAAAATCCAACTGCTTTTAACACCCTCTGTACCTGCTTTCCACTTCACTAACACTGGTGAGGTCTGTTCATGTCCAGCTGTGTTGCAGAGAGAGTGAGGCACGATCCTGCTTCGGATTTAGCTGTGCACACAGATCCTCCCAGGGAGTCGGGATCTGCGCGTGTGGAGCCACTTGCTGGGCTGGCACTGGTAGGCAAACACTGGTGGAGCTGGGAAGATGATAAAACTAGTTTTAAGCAGTACTGGAAAGCAGAAGAGAGCCTGCCAAGAATCCCAAGCCCTGTGCTGGGAGTAAAAGACTCTCTTCATTTTCCCAGTGTGCTGGATCAGGTCCTGAAGTTAAGGGAGTGGCAGCAGATAAGGAACAAAGCTTGGAGTGGCAAAAAGATAAGATCAGTGGCGGCCATGACCTCAAACCAGGCTAAACAGATGGCAAAATCCTGGCTACCCACAATTCACTGATAATCCTGCCAGCAGTAGCAGTGGGGCCAAGAAATTTATTGAGAAAGGTCTTTGGGCAGTGAGAGAACAGACAGTTTTCCCTGGTGGAATAAGTTTGGCATTATAACCATGATTCACCTTGGAGGGGTCTGGCATGGACAGTGGGGACAGGCATAGGCACACATGGGACACATGCATTGTCCCCTACAACCCCAGATGTGACAAATGCTGCTCCCCAAATCTTGCTTCTGCCTCCTCATAATCTTCACCTGGAGCTCTGCATCTGGACACCAAAGGACATCTGTTTTAGACTGACAGTAGCATGTTACCAAAAAAATGAAAATCTTCAGTAGCTGCTCCAAAATTAGCAAACATTCAGCACCTCTCCAGAGATCTTCAGTTTCACACCAGTTAAGTGCCCCGAGCTCCTCCAAGGTCTGCTACATCGTTTCACAGCTGCAGGATCTCTTCAGCATGGGAAGACAGAGTTGGCCTCTTGGGTACCTCCTGAAGAGACCTGATGTCAGTGGAAGCTTGACACGGAGCGGGCAGTGGCTTTTGAACATCTTCAGCATCGGATAGAAGTGGGATGTGCAGCACAGCCCCAGACAGAGCCCTTGGGCCGTGGCTGTGCTGGGCGTGCGCTGCCTCCAGCTGCCTGTGTGTCCCAGCACAGAGACTCCAGGTGGGACTCCAGGGTCTGTCAGCAGGCAGGAGGCAGCTGCCTGGGAAAGCATGGCCCAGAGTGATGCCCTGAGTGACACACTGTAGGATAGGCTGGAGGACCAGTTCACTGCAGTCTTCCTTGAATAGGTCTCCTCCCCCTGTTCCGTTATTTGCATTTTTAAACCCATCTCTAATCGTGTGACTGGTTTTTAAAAATTATTTTGCTGTCAGAATTAATTGTCTCTTCATAGAAAATTGAAAAGAAAATACAGTATTTTCCCCATTAACTCTGAGAGTGGTCTTTCCTTTTGCAGTTTGAGATGCCAAACTTTGTGGATATGCAGAGAGTGTATCTCCCTGACCTGTTGTCCCTGGACATCTGGTTACCCTCTTGTGTGGACTCCTATGTGTTTCAGAAGGACTCCTCTCCTTCTCCCTGATAAGGAAACATGCTAGGACCCTGTTGGATTTGTCTTTTTCAATGGATTAAAACATAACTCAGCCTCTGCAAGGTGACACCTGCCTGACCCAGCCCCACTGAGGCAGCGGGCACTCCCAGCATCCCTGCTAGCCTACAGCCTTCTCCTAGGGCCACACCTCCCCAGCTGAGTATTGCCAAAGGTAATCCATTAACAGGGAACTCAAGCTGTCCCCTGATCATCTGGACCCATTAGAACAAGCTCCTGTTTAGGATTAGAACAAGTTCCTGCTTAGGATTTGGAGTGGTCCTGTGGTTCCAAAGTGGAACTTCAGTTTCTAAGTTTGGCCTAAAATCAGCTAAGGTGTGCAGTCTGGGGAAGTCCTGTAGCCCAGTGATGAACATGGTGTAGGGTTTTTTCAAAAATGTAGGAACAGTCCATCCCTCTTGCCTAGCTGTGTAATTTTTTGTCCTAACACTGCCGCATGGGAGCTGGAGACTCTGAAGCGGAATGAAGGCCCCATGTGCCAGGTGGAAGATAAGAGCTAATCCCTACTTTGAAAAAACCATCATCTGCATAAGCAAGATGGATGCAGCCAAGTCCCATCCCATCTTCTGAGTGCAGATCTAAGCACACAGCTTAGCTGATTTCCCTGCTGGCATGTCCTGAGCCTCGGTTCCCCCAGGATGCCTAAATTCCCCAATCAGCTGTTCCCCTATGTTAAAGAGATGGATTTAACCCAAAAGGGCTGGCTAGATCCTGAAAACCAATCATGCAGCCCACTGTTCCTCAATAGCCCAAGGGGAGAACAAGTCACCTGCTGCCAAATATTTATTGTCAGGAATATGAGGGCCCTGTTTCTGCTGGGGGGATTCTGCCTAAGTCTTCAGTTGTGCCTTGTGTACTGAACATTACATCCCAGTGGGAGCAATCACAGCCTTGATCTTGGCCAAGAACAGGAGAAGCCAAGAGCCAGAACTGCCCATCCATGCTTTTCCAGCAGGGAGCAAAGCACACACCCTGTCCTAGGAGCGGTTTGAATGCTGCCCCACACTATCTTGCCCAGAAAGTCCTCAGATTTACTTCAGCCCCACTGTTTACTGTGCCATCTCTACAGAACTCCATGCACATGACAATTTAGCTCTTCATTAAATGTCTCCATTGGTACAAAAAAAAAAAATCAAATTTTTCATTACATGCCCCCTTAAGTAGTAGGGGGCTTGGCAATGACCCCAGGGCTGTCTTCATGGACCAGACCCTTCTCCAATTCTGCTTAGGGCTTTACCAAAGCCCATTAACACAATGGCTTCCTTCTCCTGCCCAAGGAGAGGGAAGATGAGACCCCTCATTTATGGAGATGACTTGCTCATCTGGTTAGCTCAGCAATTTGTTCATTTGGGAAACTATTTTTACTCACCATGAATGACTAAGCACATCGTTTTGGGGGCTGATGGCTTTTCCTTTTTCCGCTCTTTCTTGGATTTATTTATTTTTAGGTTTCTTTGGGAGGGAAGGGAAGCGGAGTGCAGAATGAAAGCTCAGAGAACAGGAGACAGAGATCAAGGGAGAGTGGGAAGCTTGGATTTACCCCTCCCAGTCTCAGGCTGCCTTACTGCTTATGGAACATAGCAATCCACTGAGCAATTTTATTGGGGTAATAGGAAAGGAGCATTCAGGAGGCTGTGGACTTTGTCATTCAGAAATAAAATAAAAAATAAAAAAAAATAAAAAAAGCAGGGTCGGGTTCTGCTAATGGTTTCTGAAGAGCCTGAGTAGGATTTGAAGGGAAGGTTTTCTCACAGGTCTTACAGCACTTGATTATGCTACAGCCCACGTCTCTAACGTGATTAGGGAAGAATTGCTTTGGGGCAGCAAGCATTCTTCTGTTCTGTTTGTCCTGTGCTTAGCACAAGGGGAAGCCAGCCTTGATGCCACAGTAATGCAGGCGATTATTCATACCCACCCCACCTTTTATTTGAAAGGAAAGTAGTCCTAGACCATATGGTTGAGGGTATGCATGACCTTTGAAGATGCCCAGGAAGTTGGAGGAGGGTTAAAATAATGTAGAATATTGAGGGGTTTTATTCCTTCAATTTTTTATGTCAGTTCCCTGGGGTCACATGAATGGTTGTTGAACCAGTGATGCTGCATATATGCCACTGTGGTCCATGTAATAAACTTCTCACCACTCACACTTAACACTGAGGAAGATGATGAATCACTCACCCAAAGACCAAAAAATGCTCTGCAAACTGTAGGGATGACCTGGTACCTGGAGAAGAGGAAAAGCAGCCGTTCAACCTCCCTGGCCTTTCAGTCCTATTCATACCAGGGAATGTGACTGTCTGTTGATCTCACATTCCCCTACACCACCCTGCTGCCTCCTCTTGCCTGCTCCAAACCTCCTCTGACCTTTTTCTCTGCTCACCCTCCATCCCTGCCTGACATCAAGAAGAGGAGCAGCCTTACCCACACAACTTTCCCCAGACAAACGAACAGCAGGCTCATCAGTAGCTCCAGTCTGCATCCACGGGGTTTCATTGTTCCTCCTGAGCCTGCAGGGAGGATGCTCTGCACAGCTGAGTTTGTCCAAACCCCTTAGAAAAGCTGACGACAGCTGGCCATGGCTCTGCCTCTCCTGCAAACCTCTTAATCCCACAGGAGCATCACTCTCACCCTAGCACTGCCTCTGTCTCTTAGCAGCTTCTTGGAGAGAGATCTGGATCTCATCACAGGCAGCTGTAGCACTAATAAAACCTTCTTTACTTTGGCAGGACACAACACCACTCCAGCAGCGATAAATCCTGAACCAGAGGGCAATTTGTCCTTTTTTAACCAATGCAGGCTGCAGCAGGATTAAGTTGGTCTCATGGAAACTGGACCTCCTCCAGTCTCAGAGACCTGTAGATGTGCAAGAAGTTCCCCCACATCAGGGATGAACCACAGGGATGAGCACAGGGTGAGTGCCCCTATACTGGAGCCAAACCTGCCTGTGAAGAGCTGAGCAAATTACCATCCTTATTTCTTAGCTCAGCACTTTGTGGGTAGGCTTAAGGCTTTTCCAGAGGATTTCCCTTCCCTCGCAGTTTCTGCTCACATGAACTTTTGTTCTATCCACCCCATTTCCAGTGTTCTGGGGATTTCTCTGCTCCCCTTCCCCAGCGCCGCAGCTGAACTGCTTGCTGCAACAAGGCCACCTGCACCAGGCTATGTCACTGCGGGGTGACACGGCTGTCCTTGTGTCCTCACCCTCCCTGTGCATCCTCCTGAATGACCTGCAAGCTGTCCCTGCACGGCACCAGCTGCTCTCCATCATCATGTCCCTGGGGGGACTCTACCGCAGCACCCTAGAGCTGGGATTCCGTGCAGCTTCCAGAGTGCTAGCAATGGGAGGCAGCAAGCACATCCCTGACCCTGTGCTAAGCCTGGGCACAGCCAAACCCACCCGGGCTTGACCAGCCCTTGTGACACCCCCACCCCCCTCCCCTAAAGCATCCGTGCATCCCGCTGCCGGAGTGCTCCCGCCCCTGCCTGCGCTGGGATTTGCTCCATGCCAGCAGGATCTGTTACCTCACACACAGGATTTATCCCCCTTCCATTCATCCCCTGGCGACCAGAGCCCGTTTTTCCCCACAGCATTGCATCACCACCACCTCCCCTTGTTAATTCCGGTCGTCCCCACGCACTCCCGCCACGCTTATTTCGGTTTTTCACCCAGGTCCATAGCGGTGAACTCGCAAACAGGGCTGCAGCGAGTCCCCGCTGCAAATGTGTCTGTGGGTGACACTGGGGAGAGCAGGGCCGAGCATCCCCTTCTGCTGCTCGGGGAAGCCGCTGGGCCGGGGCCCAGGAGATGCCCTTCTCCAGCGGGGCGCTACCAGGATGCTCCAAGCAGGAGGTGACGTCCCAGTGGGGGGGACACGAGGAGAAGGACTGAGACACAGAGGAGCTCTCCTGCCTGAAGCATGTTCGGGGGGAGACAGGGGGCTGCAGGCTGACCTTCCCATCCCCTGACTCCCTGCCTGCCCATCCCTAGTCCATGGGTGCCCCCCTCCCCGCCCTCCCCTCCTCCTTCAACTCCAGCGCCGAGGAAGCCGAGCCGGAGGCAGTGCTGAGCCGGATATGCAGCGACTCCCCGCATCCCTCCTTGTGAGTATCCCTCGCTCCTCCCGATGCCTTCGGAGGAGACCGATGCACGGACGGACGGGCAGCCAGAGGTGGACTAGTCTCTCCTATTTGCAAAGCTAGGGTGCAGGGGAACTTCTTCTAATGTCCCTTTCCCCATCCTCTGTCTTCATCCCCTCCTCCTCCTGGACCTCCTCAGCCACGATAGCCTTAAAAAAAAAAGGTGGAGGGAGGGGGGTATAGGAAACCTGCTGGCAGGTGGAAGGAACCGGGAAATGGAATCACCGTAAAGACTAGGACTCAGGGGAAAAGAAAAAAAATCCCCCCCAAAAAATGCCCACCCCCCTAAGGAAGGAGGGAGGGAGGGAGGCAGGGCGGAGGGGCGGGATGCTCTGCCGCACCGGGAGACCCGCTCCGCCCGCAACCGAGCCACCGGCTCCCATCCCGGCATGGGACAGAAAGGAGAAGGCCCGGACAGACCGACAGACAGGCTGGCGGGGAGGGCTGCGGGGGGCTGCAGCGCGGCCGGCCGCCAACTCCCTCGCAGCCCCCCGGCGCCTCCCAAGTGTTTCTTTCTGCTTTTATTCGTCTCCTTTTTTAAGAAGCAGATGCTTTCCCCGGCGGTGGCTGGGAGGCGGGTCACGCAGGCCAGCGGGCAGGCCGTGGCAGCGGGGGAGGGAGGCCGCCCGCCCTGCCCGCGCCTCTGCCCCCGCCGCGGGGCCGGGGCCGGCGGCAGCTCCGCGCTGAGGCGGCGGCGGCGGCGGCAGCGTGCTCCCCGGGTGTAGCGGTGCTCCCTCCTCCCTCTCCTGCCTGCCCTACTCTCCTCCCTCTCTCCTCTGCCCACTCCCTCACTCCTCTCCCCGCTCTCTCCTCGGTCTCCCGGTCCCTCTCTGTCTCTCCTGCCTTCCCCCCCACGCCTCCCCTTCTCTGCTCCTTCCCCCCTTTCTCTTTTCCCCCTGCCCCCGGCCTTTCCATCCCCTCACCCCCATTTTTGACGGGGGGGCTTTTCGCTTTGCCAGGGCAGAGCGCGGTGACGCCGCGGCAGCCACCACGGAGAGGACACAGGACCCCCCCCTGGGCCCACCATGCCCCTTTGAGGGGGTGGCCTGGACCCCCAGACCCCCGCAGGGCCCCCCGCAGGGCTGCTTCGCCTGCATCGCCAAGCCCCCAGCTCTCCGGCAAGCTTCGCCCGTCCTGTCTCCTTCTTCTGCCGTTTATCTCATGGAGAGCAAGAGCTGCAAAGGGGACAGCCTGCGGCCAGCGGTCCCGTGCAAGCACTCGGTGGAGAAGAAGACGATGACCAACCCCACCACTGTCATCGAGATCTACCCCGACACCACCGAGGTGAACGACTACTATCTCTGGTCCATCTTCAACTTTGTATACCTCAACTTCTGCTGCCTTGGCTTCATCGCCTTGGCCTATTCACTGAAAGTGAGTACTGAGCGCGGGGCTCGGGGAAGGGGATGGCCAGGCAGGGGGGAAGCGTTTGGGGCTGTGCCTGATGTGAAACCCCACCTTGCCACCCAAATGAGAGGCTGCAGACAATGGGGATGGGGATGGGAAGAGCTGAGGAGCCTGGGATGTTACTTCAGGTGGGGAAGAGGTGCTTTCACTTGCTCCAAGTACCCTCAGAGGCTCCTCTGTACCGCGGCAGCAGGGTGACAGGCAGGCAACACAGGGCTGCTTTGGCTCATGCTGCACCTGCAGGCACGCCGGCACTGGGTCTCTTATTTGGGATCCTGGCTGTTAGAAATCATCAGGATAGGACCCAGCAGCACTGGATGGCCAGGCAGGAACATTAAGAAGCAGCCAGCCAGGATCAGCCATCAGCTGCCAAGTTGCAGGGGGTAAGAAGCTTACCAAGTGCAGGGCAATCCTGCCTGTTTCTTTCTTGCCCTCTCCGTAATTAAAACACCAGAGCTCGTGGCCAGCTTCCCCCACCCCAAGCCCTATAAATCTCAAAAGAAGGCCTGGAGACCTGCCAGCATCATGGGAATGGTGAGAAGGTGGAAGAGAGTGTAGGGGGCTTCCCACAGTGTCGGGCTGGGGGGATAGAGATCTGTGTTGTTGGAGAGAGTGATGGTGTGGAGCACAGCCCATGATGGGAATGGGACCAGGTTATTATTCCTGATGGCTGCAGGGGAGAGCAGCCCGGCAGGGATGGTGCCTGGCAAACAGGCAGCACCTTGGCAGCTGCCAGGAAAGAGGGGCCCGGGCTGCCCTCCCCTTCCCTGCCTGCCAGATGCAAAACTAACTGAATGGATGTGCAGAGAGCCCGGGGCGGCTGGGTGGCCCGGAGAGGAGCTGGCTGATTTGTTTTGGCAGGCAGCATTTAGAGGAAGGCCAGGGTGCAGACAGGCTTCGTCACAGAAGCAGATCAATTAACCCCATAGAGCTCCTGTGAGCTGGACTGTGAGCACCCAGCACTGCAAGGAGGCTGCTCCCAGCACTGTCAGGGTCCCCATCAGAAAGGCTCAGGGACAAGTCTGTGGCCCCCTGTCTTGGGCTCGCCGAGCACGGCCTGGTGGTGCCTGCCTCAGTTTCTCTTTCCTCAAGATGGGAGGTGAGGTCTCATCCATTGCCCGTGCAGGAGGCTCTGCTGCTGCCTGGGTGAGGCACTTAATAACTTAAATCATCCTGGGGCGAAGCATCACCACAAGCAAAGGGCAAATCCAGTCAGCAGCGGGCTAGTGTGAGTGGGGGGAGCAAATCCATTAACATCCCCCACACCTTAATCCAGCAAGGGAAGAAAAAACTGGCTTCCTCCTTGTTTTTCTAAGCCTTTCCTTGTCTGTATTTGCCTTTAGCAATTGACACCTCTCCCGTGGAAGAGGCTACCATGGGTATCTGGGTACATGTGGCTCCTTGCTGCTGCAGCAGCGAGGGCAGGACAGCCTGAGAACAGGGCTGACCCATCTCCTGCTGACAAGGTAGAGTAGTGTCTGCCACCCACAGAGTTTTTAGAGGCTGGACCCTTCACTATCCTTGACATGGGGTGGAAGGAAAGGCAAAGCCCAGAAATAACCTGGGGCCTTGCACCGGGACAGAGGTGTGGGCTCGGCATCTGTCTGCAAAGACTTAGAGGACACAAACTCAAGCAGGAAAACAAGAGGCAGTGGTGAGGGAAGGCAAATGGGCAGATTTGCTCCAAATCAGAGAAAGGAGAAAGGAAGATGGCTGTCAAAAACCAGCCTTGGCTTTCGGGCTGAGAAGGCGGTGGCTGATGGGATGTAACCGCGGTACCCAAACAGAGGTAGCGCTGAGCGGGTAGAAATAACTCTGCTCTGGTTTTGGAGCTCCCCAGTGGCTGTGACTCTGTGGCAGGGGGAAAATAGAAACAAAATGTCCCTCAGAGGCAGAGGACAGAGCTAGCAAGTGGCTGAAGCAGTGCTCGGATGAGCTGCTGTTGGGGTGGGTGGTGAGAGGCAATGCAGATGCTGGGGACAGTAGCAGGTCTGTCCTGGGGAAGACTGGGATGTTCAGAAAGGCAGCTGTGTTCCTTACCCACAGCTACTGCAGGGATCTTCACAACGCCTTAGCCAGGCTGGGTGTTATGGTTTTTTCTCCAGGAACGTGTTTTCTTCTCTTTTACCATCAATAATGTTTTTCCCAGAAGTTCAGAGAAAACAGGAGAAAGAAATGCACTGGGGACAGATATCCCCCTTTAAACAGACTTCTCTTGTTCCTCTGTAATTAAATGTAAGGAGATTTGAGCAGTAGGCACTTAAGTCTGGCCTTTCTAGGCTGTCTGTGCTCTGAAGGGACTGAGTAAGGGCCAGCAGGAAGAATGAAGCTGCACCTTCCTCTCCCTGAGCTTCTTCTGGGACCCCTGGCAGCAGAGCCCTCAGCCAGTGGAACACAGGTTTCCTCAAGAGCCATCAGTGCACTGATATTAAGTGGCTCCTGGGTTACAGCTTTTACACTTCCTTTAAATAATTGAAACATCTAGCAACTTCAGGAATTATCGTTTTCATTATCAGAAATAGCATTTTCAATTCCCTGTCAGAAAGGTCACCTGCTTCTGACAGATTCATGCTGTTAATAAAGCAGTATCTCCTTCGTGACCCAAGTCCATGAGAGGTTTCAGTGTATATCTTAGCACACTCTAGCATTTCCTCTGGTTTCAGCAGCATAATGCCCACACTGGGAGACAGATATTTCCTTGGTACACTTGAATATCACTGTGAAGCTGTCTCCTTCCTCGTGCCCCATTTTATTGGTTTCAGCCACATCTGGGAAAACGGGCATGTCTGCCTGGCCTTTTGCATACCAGCTACAGCCCTCTAGATTTCTTTCTGCAGGGAAATGCTATGTCTAAAAACTGTCCAAAACCCCCACCCCAGCACCAAAGAATTTGTGAGGAAAGAAATAGATGAAGTCAGGTGAGAGCAGAAACTGTGACATAAAAGGCAGGTTCTATATGTGACAGGCATCACAGCCAAGCACTCTGAACAGGAGTGTGGCAGCATGCCTTATCTTTATTTACCCCCATAGCAGGCCAGATCCTCAGCACACACAGCTTGCTGGGCCACAACGGGGTCACACAACTCGTGGATCCCTCCAGGGGTCATTTCTAGCATGTCAGGCTTCTCAAGGTCAGCCTCCCAGAGTGCAAGCAAGGCGCTTGCATCTAATCATGTGTGCTGGATGCTGGGGGAGGAGAGATCAACAGTAGGACCAGGAAGTTAGAAAAACCCTAAAGTAACCCTTACCCCAGCCCAGCACAGATAAAAGTATCACTCCAACAGCAACGCTTTGGATTCACTTGATTTTGATCAGAAGCAAATGTTGTGGTCTGATATTCAGCAGCTCCCTCCCTTCCCCTTTCCCAGCTCCAAGTGGTAATGAATGATGCATCAGTGCCTGGTGGCAGGAGATCTCACTTCAGTTGTTCAGTCTCTGGAGACTGTTGGGGTGAGCCAAGTGCTCTGTACCCATTGTGCCATGAGGCAGTAGATCAGAGGAGCTGGGATCTGAGATGAGCTGCAGTGTGGATGCCTCGCTGTGGCTCTGTACAGATGAAGATGCCAAGGAACCTTGCTGGCTTTTTTAAGCCTCACCAGCAGCCCACAGCATTGCTTGCAGAGTTTTCTTGCCCCTTGAGGTCATGGAAGTATGCCAAGCTCTCTTGCCCACTCTCTGCCCAGCCCTTAGCACACAGCTGTGGGCACGATTGTTTGCCCTCCTCTCTTGCCACTTGTTGATCTTCCTTGTTTCGAGTGGAAGCAGACCAGCACAAATCCACAGCTATTTATTAACCCTGAGAACTGCCGCACCCAGCCTCTCAGGCAGGCTCTCATCCTGCTTTTCAGAAGGAGCAATGGTTTGTGGACGTGGGTGAACGGCAGGGGTGACAGTCCCGTGATGCCAGTGCCGGTGTGGTGGAGGCACGTGGGCTGGAGAGCTCTTGAGCAATTCACAGAGCAAATAAATCCAAGGATCGCCTCCAGAGCTCCTTCTGTGCAGGGACATGGAGCTCTGCATAGAAATGGGTTTACTGACAGCCAGCTGTGGACTTCCAGGCTGCCTTAAAAACAGCCTCATTAGACTCGTTATCAACAAACCATTTGTCTCCTTCTGCAAGCTGAGGCAGCACTTTTTACTAGAGCAGCAAGTTTGCTGCTCCCAAAAACAAGAGGGGCTGAACCTCAGGGCAGAGAGAGGGGAGGTGACTGCTGGGGGAGGGAATGGGGTGGTAGGAGCCAAGGGGAGCACTTGGAAAGGAAGCAGAGCATAAAACCCCAAGGAAACAAAGGGCAGAGGATGGTGATGAGAGGGAGGAGAGAAAGAAACCTTGGGCACTGACACGCTGGAGGTGTGGGAGGACAGAGTGAGATGGAGGTATTGGAAGACAAGGTGAGCAGCAGGGAGGTGACAGGCAAGTAGGGATGGATGGATGGATGGATGGATGGATGGATGGATGGATGGATGGATGGATGGATGGATGGAAAGGCCACACCTCCTTTTGTTGGTGGGAAAGGAGAGGAGAAAGGTTTGCTTGTTAGAGCACAAAAGCTGGCTGTGTTTCATGTAAGGATAGGCATGGAAGAAGAAGGAAATTGTGTAAGTTGCCAGCCTAGGTCAGAGGTGAGCTCTGCCTTGTCCAAGGGGGGATTTCCAAAGATGCCACCACATAGTGCTTGGAGGTGCCCAGGGAAATCCCAGTCAGCAGATGTAATTATCCTCACACTCCAGTCATCTCAGTGCAAAGCAGGGCCAAAAGTCCCCATCTAGTTTTAGGCAAGGTGAGAAGGGTCAAAGGGATGATGAGAAGAGCCTGTGGCTAAGAAAACACCACACCTTGGTCTGAGGTGGGGGTTCAGCCGTGTGACCTTGATGACCTGTCCCTCACCATGCTTCATCTCTCTGGCTATGGAAAGAATCAGCTTCCAGGGCTCCCAGAAGCTCGTGCACCAGCTGCCAGCACTTTATGATGATGGTGGCCACAGGAGCATGAAAATAGGAAAAGCTGAAGCTGGGCTATACGAAAGACACCAGCATCTCCTTAAGGACAAAGCAGGGAAGGAGCTGAAACACTTATCTGCTCTCCAGGAGAGCTCCTCCAGAGCCTGGCTCAGTTGCCACAGCAGGACATTAAAGGGAGACATCTGGAAGCATCTGGGGGTGCAAGCTATGCAGGAGGAGACGAGGCTGCCCTGGAGAGATGTGGGAGGCTGGAGCTGTGAGTGGTGTGTAAGGAGAAACTCCTTTTCGTTGCACTTTTGTGCCATGGGGGCCCTTGCACTTGTCTGGTGCTTAGAGGCTCCATTTCAGTGTAAATGATTATGGGCAATCAGGGATGATTTTCATGAGGGTGACACTGAAGCCACAGGGGTTAGCAGGAGTGTGTGGGTGGAACCAGCTGGAGGTACTGGGAGAGGAGGCAGCTGGGTGCCCTTTGGTAGGAGTCAAAGGCGGCCATCATTTGGACTCAAACAACAGAAAGAGAAGAGGTGGAAGGGATAAAAAAAAAGGAACTGTGGGGAAATGGTGTCACTGGGGCAGCCCCAGGCATGCCTCGCCACAGCATCAGCATTATGACAGGAGCAGGGCCAAAGGGAGAGCCATGGGAAAGTCAAGGAGAGGTGCTGCTGAAGTGTGTCGTGGGAAAGGGCTAAAGCACCAGCCACGAGTGTGAGCTGGTGCCAGGTGGGAGATGCTGCTGGGAGAGGCTGCCGGGAGCACTGGAGAAGGCTGAGCAGGGAAATTAGGGTTGTGGGGCACCCCAGGGAGAGGAGGAACAGGAGTTGAGGAGTAGGAGACAGCTCCTGGGGCCAAGAAGAACTGGTCTCACGAAGGTGAAGCGGCTTGGCTGCAGGAGGGTTGCAGAGCTCGGCGTGCCGGTCTGCTGGAGAGAGCTCCGTGTGCCTGGCAAACACTGACAGCAAACGCCAGCTCGCCTGCGGCACAGAGCACCGGGTTACAGTGCAGGAGGGGGCAAAAGGCATTTGCTCCATGGCGGTTTTGCCTGAGGCAGCCCCACCGCTGGGAAAAGGAAAGTGTGTGAGAGCTTCAAAGAGTCTGCTGGGAGCAGCAAGCGGGATTTCTGGCCTGAATCCAGCACCTCTGGGGCTTCTCACCAGGGCGTGAGGAGGTGCCAAATGTCTGGTGCTGCTGAGCCCAGGGGTTTTTGGGAGGATGTTAAAGTTACTGAATAATTTCAAATGTGAGTCATCCCGGACATTCAGCTGACACAGAAAGGCATGTGGGCTCCCAAGCTGCTGGCTTGATGCTTTCCCAGAGATCATCTCCTCTGCTGAGAGCTCCAGCCAAGTGTGCCCCAAAGACACATGCAGTTTGTGACTGTCCCCTCTTCCCGATCCCAGAAGGATGCTGAGCTGAGCACTCCACAGCAGGGCAATGGCCTCAGCTCCAGCTCCAGGCTCCAACAAGCAGGGCACATCAGAGGCCGAGGACATGACACAGTTTGATTTAATACAAGTATGAAAATGGGCTCATTCTTGCCTATGTGCCTGCCAGCACCAGATCCTGTGGGTTTCATGCCAACAGCAGCTTCCCTACCCACAATTCAGAAGATCAGGGTTTGCTTGTGCAGAGAGGTCCTCGGTGGTGTGATGGAGAGGAGGAATGTTGCTGGAGGGTCTGAAATGCAGTTTTGGAACTGCATTTTGGTTCATTTGTGAACCAGCACAACTCAGTGAGAACAAAGGGTGCAGCAGCCCTTCCCCATGTCCAGCAGAAGGCTTTCAGGACAGCCCTGTGGGTAAGCACTGCAGGAGGAAGAGAGAAAAGTCTGTAAGATGTGGTCTGAATCTGTTGCAGTGTCTTCAGAAAGCTCCCAATCGATAAAAGCCTTTTAATATTCCTCGGTCTGACTCTGGTGCTGGTTTTTGCAGCTTGCCACCCACATTTGGTGTCCAGCAGTGCCCAGCGGGGCTCTCACTGCTGGCAGCAGGGCAGGCCAAGGGCTCACAGCCCCACTCCCCACAGCCCCCACCCAAGAGAGGGCAGTGGGGCAGGCTCTGCCACACCCTGGGCACCCCGCTTGGACACGAGATGGATGAGGGGTCAAGTGTCCTTTTGTCCAGGTCCTTTTGTTCATCCTTGTGGCTCCAGCTGCCTGAGTCTGCCGAGTGCTGGCTGAAGGGGCCGCCTGGGGACAGGGAGATATCCCTGCTAGGAAGCAGTGGAGTCTGACCCCTCCTCTGCTGGGATGCATCTGCAGAGCTGCTGCTGGTGGACAGTGCCATCAGCTGCCTGGCTGTGCCATCACAGCCTGCCTGGCTGCGCTGTCCCTGCCTGGCTGTGCCATCCACTGCCTCGTAGTGCCATCTCTGCCTGCTCGTAGCATCATTGCCTGGCTGTGCCATCTGCTGCCGTGCAATGCCATCGTTTCCTTATAGTGCCATGTGCTGCCTGGCTATGCCTTCTTGCACCTGGTAATGCCACATGCTGCCTGGTAATGCCATTGCTGCCTGGCAGTGTCATCTGCTGCCTGGCAGTGCCATCCACTGCCTGGTAATGCCATTGCTGCCTGGCAGTGTCATCTGCTGCCTTGCAGTGCCCTCTGCTGCCTGGAAATGCTGTCACCAGTACATCAGTAATGCCCGCTAGTGGCACTGCTGCTGGCGGTGCCGTGCACTGCCTGGCAGCCTGCAAGAGGTGGGGACAGGCCAGTGACATGGACATGCACAATCATCTCCCACTGCGGCGCTGTCCCAAGGAAAGCCCATAAAGTCCCATAAAGCCTGCGGGATAATGAAGGGAGCAGACTGTGCTGTCAGAATGGAAAACTGCCTGTGGCAGGGATGCTACACAATCCGCATAAGACCTGCAAAAGGAAGGGAACTCATTAACCCAGGACTACTTAATATGCTGGAGGCTCGTGCAGAGCCCTGGAGCTGCAGCAGGATGCCGTGCCAGGTTTCACCCGCTCGGCCCCTCAGTGCAGACGGAGGCACAGGGATGCACACCAAAACTGCAGCCAGCCTTCTCCCCTGAGGGGTGGGTGGGCCCAGCCTGGCGCTGCAGGGCCAGGGTGCTGTGACACGGTGGGAAGTGTGCTTTGGTGCCTGTGTGCCTGGGGTGTACAATGGCATCTCAGTTCCTTTGTGCGCCTTCAGGCTCCAAATGACACTGCCCCACTCCAGGGACCATGGGGCTTTAGTTTGCCTGGTTGGTAACAGCAACGGGTCACTCTTTCTTCTGTGCTTCCAAGAATTTCCAGCCCACAAGTATTACAGTGCTTGGCTTCACAAGCTCAACCCATAGCAGAGACGGGGTGCAAACCTCACCTCAGGGTGTTTTATGGCACCCCAAGTGCTCAAACACCGAGGCCCAGCCCAGCCCTCACAATGCACCTGTACAGGTAACCACGTACAGGTGCACTGGGTTTTGTGGCTGTTGCTTGAAACAAGTTATGTCTTTCATGCATGTTGCAATTACTTTATTTAATTATCTTTTTGTCTCAGGTCCGGGATAAGAAACTCCTCAATGACTTAAATGGAGCAGTTGAAGATGCCAAGACAGCCCGGCTTTTTAACATCACCAGCTCAGCCCTTGCCACCTTCTGTATCATCCTTATCTTCATCTTCCTGCGATACCCTCTCACTGACTACTGAGTGAGGCCAACAGCAGCTGCTGCCGCCAAAATGCCTCTATGCCAGAAGTGTCTGCAGTTTCTTGTAGCAAGGACACCCAAAGCAAGCCAACCACTACACCTTGATTGCCAAAAAAAAAAAGTCAATTAAATACATAAATAAATGTTAAATTAGTTTATCAGCCCAGCTGAGCATACCTTTCTTGCCCTGAAATGGTATGTGAACAGCTGAAGGAAAGGGTCTCGCTCTTACACACGTACAGGAAGACAAATAGACCAAGAAATATTTGTTTTATGACCAACAAGCTGTGTGAAAAGAGCATGTAAAGCCCAGAGCTGCACACACTTAGTGGCAGACAGCTGAGCTCTAGGAAGCAGTGGGGTCCCGTGGAGCTGGAGACACATACAGTGATGGATGGGGATCGTGGCAGGGCTGGCTTACGACATATCAGGTGTGTTCAGACCGCCCCACCACCCCCAGCTTGTGGGGATTTATTTTCCTTTTCTTTTCTCTTGAATTTCATCCACTGGTTCAAACAACTCCCAACCCCTGGAGAGCTGAAGGTGTTAGGAAGTTTATGCTGGGGAGCCCCAAAGCCTCCAGAGAAACCCCAAAGTGTTAAAGGGCAGGTTTCTCCTTAGGATCTCCCAGCAGTGCTGAGAAGGAAGGCACCTTCTGGAGAACTCGCCTAAACCACCTAATTGGAGTGCTACTGTATTTCTGTAAACAGTCAATAAAAAGATACCTCTGACATGTGATGCTGCTGGGTTAATTCCTTCCTTAGCAGGGCTGGTCTCCTGGTCTCTGTGGGCTGGCAAGAGAAAATGCTAATGTCACCAGCAGCTGCTCGGGAGAGATTTATAGCAGGAGTGAGGGATGCTGCTGCAGGTCGGGGCCGTGAGGGAGAGCGCAGAGCCAGACTGAAGAGCAGAGACCTCGGTGACTCCTGGGTGGAAGATCTATGGCAAGCAGGCAAAGGCAGCCAAGCGGGCAGGGCCCCCTCCCCTGCTAGGACCAGTGCTGAAGAGGGAAATAAATGGCTGCAGTCTGAACCTGCTGCTACTGCAGCACTTCCCAGGGTCACTGTGAAGAGCCAGAGTTTGGAGATGACGTGCGTTTGCCACTGAAACAGGCAGGAGCTCAGAGCCCTGCCCAACAGCTGCCTGCAGCTGCCTGTCATGCTGCAAACCAGCACACCCTGCCTTGAAAACACCCATAAATGAATGACAAGAGCAGGACTAAAATACAGCCTATCAGCCCCTCTGACCCTCCATCTCATCTCATGTGCCACAGCTGCCTCATCTTTCTCCAGCTGTAAGGTGACCTCATGCCAAGGGGCACCAATCACTGCAGACCAGCCATGGAGCTGGGAGAAGGCATCAGGATTTACCTTTGCACCCAGCCTGAAAGCAGAGGTGAAGCAAGAGATAGGGAATGCAGACAGGCTGTCATGGGACACTTCATCATCTGCTGAGTGCATGGTTTAATCAGCAGGCTGTCTCTGGGCTGTGCTTAGTGAGGGAAGTGCCATAGTGAGATGTGGGGACAGATCATGAAGATGCTTCCCTAAAAACATCATGAGATGTCACCTCATTCCTGCTCAGGTCTCCACACCTTCATCCTGTCCCAGGCTTCATTTATCATGGGAGCTATAAAAAGTGCCTGTTCCCCACTCACTGGAGAGCATTTCCACACCAGAGCAGATCAGGGGGCTGTTTTGCAGCGAAGTTTCAGTTGGCAGTGCGGTGTATGATGCCCTGAAAGTATCTCAGCCATGAACAGCTCTATGACCACTCATTCAGAGGTCAATACTCTTCCCAGCCTCTCTTGGTTGCTTCTTGCTCCCTTCCCTGAAGCAAGACCTGAGGGGTCATGGCTGTTGGCATTTCCATCCTCACATATGTGGGGGCTGTGGCCAGTCCTTGTCCCAGGCTGAGGAAGGAGGTGGCCTGTCACAATGGCAGTGCCCCCAAAGAAGGTACAGACAAAATGATTCACATTGCAGCCACCCTGAACTGGCAAATTATATCCACTGGGACAGTGCTACCTTCAGCAAGCCCCAGACCAGTCATCCCAGGATCCTCCGAGGTTAGGAGAGGCACAGAGATGAAGTTGTATCCTCTTTTCCCTCCCCCTGTACCCGCACCAAGCTCATTTTTGCTGTGTCTGAGGCCTTGGCTTGGTATCCTTCCCCATCACACCTCTCAAGCTTTTTAGTTCAAACACAAGAGCAGCTGGGTGGGCTCAGGGGATAACTCAGACAGGGTCACCCTGTGTGTAGTGCCAGGGCTTCCAAGCTGCAGGTTTAGAACCCTGTGGGACCAGCGGCATCCTTGCAATAATGAGGGCATTCCTTTCTATGAGCTGGGACTCATGTCAGCCACATTGCAAATGCTTTTACACTCAGAGACCACCCCTAACTCTAGGAAATCTTGCAGGGACAATGCCACTGTCCCCATCTCCTGTGCTACACAGGAGAGAGCCATCCTGCTTGGCATGCAGGCACGGGCCTGTTCAGATAAAGGCAGAGCTGACACAAAACTGGAAGTGACCCAAAGCCAGCCTTTTCTACATTTAACAAGTGTGACAAATGAGTTATCATCATCCCTTCCCCTGACAGACCGTCTTATCTGCAGGAAAATGGATGCTGGTTTAATGAACCAGGGGGAATATTGAACTGACTCAGCAGCATTTTTTGCATCTATAGCCCATTGGGGATGGAGAGGGAGGGTTATTATTAGTAGCCATCATATTTATTGTTTGTTACCCTTGTTGTAGGGGGTGAAATTGCTGCAGCAGGTTGGAGGTCCACACAGACCCACCATGGACAAGAACAGGGTAGCAAGAAGGATGCTCAGCATCACACTCAGCTCCACTACAGCCCTCGCCTCAGCTCCACCTGCAGCTCTGGGCTGTGGGGCAGAAAACTCCTGAGCTCTCCCTTCCTCCCTCGCAGTGTCTCCCCTTTAATGGAGTCCCTCCAAACCCACAGCAGAAGGAAAGCACCTCCAAAATGGGGAAAATAAAGGGGACCCGTAGATTTCCAATCTTTTTGGGGAGAAAAAAAAAAATTATTCATGCATGAGTCTTCCAAGTGAAGCAACATCAAGGTACTCAGCATTCATTTCTCATCTTGTCAGTGTCAGGGAACCCCAAACTGAGGTAGCAAAACTACATCCCCATATACTGTCAGGCAAGTACATCCCAGATTGCACCAACTGTGCTGTTAAGCGAAAGAAATAACTTTTTTGATTTTGAGGGAACAAGGGAAAGAAAAGCAGCAGCCAAATCCGACAGGTCCTCTAATTGCCTTTTTTTTTTTTTTTTTAAATTTTGCAAGAAAATTCTGGAAGTTCGGGTTTTGCCAAGGCTGACACCCGCCGCGGCAGAAGGCAGGCTTTCAGGAGTTGCTTCTCTGCCTTTTCACTTCTGCCACTCACAGCGTCGCGCCGCGCTCTCCAAATCGCACTTTTTTTTGGCTGCGAAGCCGCAGCCTCTGTTGCACTCCGCGGCGGGAAGGAAAACTGTGAGGAGGGGGTGGAAGGGAGGAACAGCCGAACGCAGCTTGAGAAGCATCTTTTGAGATGGGGAAGAGCTGGCGGTCACGTTGCCATTTAAAGATTTAATTGTATTCCTTCGGGAAACTGAGCCTGACAGCTTGATGATGAGGATTGCATTTTGGTTTTTGTTTAGCTCGGGTGGAGCGATTGTTCCCTGTTAGGCGACACCGTGCAATAGTGCCTAAAACACCTGTGCTGGTTTTGTGTCCCTGGCAGCTGAAGGGCGTTCGGGGTCAGCCTGGGCAAAGCCCACCGGGCTGGTGAGGCTCCGCAGAGGAGAAGCTTCGGGACGGGGCTCGTTCACCCCGCGATGGGATGGCTGCGGGGGGACCCCGAGGGCAGCGCCAGCAGCCGGGAGGAGGTGCCGGCGGCAGGGAGCGGGGTGTCCGGGGCTGCCGGGCCGCGGCAGGCAGGCAGAGGGCTCCCTCGCACCGCCGCAGCCGGAGCGCAGCGCCAGCGCCGCCGCCCCGCCGGGCCGCAGCCGCAGCCGGGCGCCTGGCCCTGGCAAGGAGCACAGGTCCGGCCACGCTGCTCCCGGACCCCCCAAGAACTGCCCCAGCCAGCGCAAGGCTGGCTTGTGCAGGAAGCAGCTGTGAAGTGAGGGTGGCTCCTCGAACCAGCCAGGAGCGGGTCCCCATCCCTCCGCAAGGATGTGCCAGCCGGGACGTGTGCGTCCCGGGCACCGGTGCACATTTACCCTCCACGCTGGCAGGGAAAGGCGGCTGGGAGCCAGGCAGTGCGTGAGCAAACCTGGCCGTGCTTACGCAAGTCGCAGTGCCCAGCCGAGCCTCTGCCCCCAGCGCCACGCAGGGCTCGGGGATGCCTCCTTCGCACAAGTGCCACCAAGCCAGTTTGCAGACAGCCTGGTGACCTGGTTTGGGTTTGGCTGGTAAACACGACTCCACAGTTCTCCTTTATCTGTGGGCTGACAGTAATAAACATGAGATGGAGCTCGTTCAGGTGAGGACCTCCTGGCCCAGTGTCAACATCCGCCAGCTCCCCGGCCTGGGATGAGCTGCCAGGCGTGCAGGCAGAGCATGGTGAGTCAGGCCTGGAGCAGCCCTCAGCCTGGATACCCAAATTAACTGTCAGAGAGAGATGCAAATGGCAACCTCTATTCTGCTTTGGGGTGTGTAATCCTTCAGCAAAGCCAAACTATGCTGTAGCATCACAGCCCTGCTTCCCAGGTGCTCCACGGGCCAGGAGGCAGATCACGCTGCCAGCAAGTAGCAACTCTCACCTCCCTTCCCAGCCATGTGCTGATGTCCTGAGTGACCTTACCAAAGCCCTTTCATCCCTGTTTTCTCCCCAACACTGTCTCATAGGTTGACGGCTTCTCAAAGGCAGAACTGCAGCCTTGCTTAGACCCACCAGGTTCTGGGACCTTGGCACTGTGAGTGTCCTGTGATAGGTGCAAGAGCAGGAGTGCCCAGCTGTGGTTGGCAAACACTGGGGGAGAGCTGGACAGTGATGGAGGTGCCTCTTCCCTCCTCTCCATCCCCTCACCCGTGTGCAGGTTGGACACTGAAGAGCGCCTGGCTCTGCAGGCAGACCACGGCGGTGCAGAGCCCTGCCGGGGGGAGGAGGGGGAGGCACAGATGGCAGCAGATGCTCTCATCAGTGAAAATGATTGAAGCAAAACAAAAAAAACCCCTAGCAACTGGTGAGCAGCCTAACAAAAACCAGCACAAGGGTACAGAGAAAGGGTCTGGACCTGACAGCCTAGCTCCATGCTGCCTTCTGGCCCAGGGTAATGCTTTTCCCATCTCCAACTCACAAAGAAGAAAGACTATGCCTTGTCCCAGGGCACTGGGCAGTGATCGTTTTTTTTAAGGCTTGGATATATTAAAATGAAACTATTTGGTTTCTTTCCCATTCCCCTGTCCCTATCCTCTCTCTTGTCCTTTCACCTCTGCCTTCAAAGAAGGAATACGACCCTGGACAGCTTCTAAGCACATCTAAGCCCCTCCCCTACCCTGACTACCCATGGCAAGCCTTAATGTGGGCCAACATGGCACTCCATTTCAGCACTGGGGGCAAAGGAGCAGGAACGCCTCCTGCACCTGAGAGTGTTACTGTAAAGCCTCTGTGCAGCTTGGCTGCTGCTGCCAGCCTCGGCCTCTCTCTTGTGATAGCCTCACGTCAGTGCAAAGGTCCTGCTCCTCCACCCCTCCCATCCCTGACTTTGACCCATCGTG